CTGTCAGCCCAAAGGAGCAAAGACCCCAGTTCACAAGTGAGTGTGTGCTTGTTTATGAGTCAGTGGGCTAAAGTGGTTGAAGACTGGTTAAAAAGGAGATTAAATGTTTGTTAAGACATACCCAAACTTATTATAATTATAGACATAAACATATTTAGGATCCTCAGTCAAAGGACATATTTGAATGCAATCACTACTATTTCTGTACACTACCAGATGGTTTGATGATGGCCGCTGCTTTTGAAGAATTTTCTAGTTAAATGCAACTAAATAAGTAAAACAAGCCACAAACCAAAGGAGCAAAGCCTATAGAAGTGACCTGTGGCATCCCATTGCTGCACCTTCCCTTTCACATTACATTCCACACATTCGTCGGCTGCGTTGAAGGGAGACAAATTGGGGGCGTTGGCTTGTGGTACAGGTATTCCAGAGGTTTTTCAGGTCTCAGTGCAAACTGAAACGACAATCGGAGAGTTCAGAGTTCACATTGAATCATAAAGATCAGTCAATTTTTTTTATAAAGAATCAAATCCTTATTAGATGTGATTTAACAGTTTTAGTTCCTAAATGACTCTGATATCTTCCAAGCTCCCACTGGTGATCTTACGATTTTAAATGTATCTCTATTAATAGGAATATATATCTACTATATGAATATAGAAGACCTCAATAGGAAAGACAATTACAGGCAACTGCAAAGACAGACAAATCAAATGGAAACAAAAACAAAAAAGCAACAATGACATCAACAGCAAGAGTATGGAATGCTAATGTTTTCATGTTACACACTTTATTGTGCTAAATTGCACTTTGAATTTGGCTAAAATGACTAATTTTAGCATAATATGCTATAACATGATCTAAGCTAATTATTGATTATCTTGTTCTTTTTAGAACTTTAATGTTTGTGTTAAAGTCTCTGGCTGTGCCCACATACTCTCTCTTCTCTCTTTTTCTTTTATCTATTTTACTTTCTTTGTTGTATTAGATCCACACCTTTAGGTCAACACATTCACACACCATTTGTTACCACATTCCAATGTCATCTGCATGAATTAGGACCTGGCCTGTTCATGACTCGAGGTAATTAGCCAATAGGACTTGGTTATGTCCAGCCCTCCTTTGAGGATGCGGACCCAGCGCTGATATACTTTGCCTGTGACCCAATAAATGTTGTTTTTATACTATTGATCAATTCTGGTTTATTCTCAAGTTTCCAGCTAAAGAATCGGGCCATCGCACTGGTCCTGTAAGTGTGCCGGCATCTGAGCGGATCTTTAACATGCAAACCTCTCCCTCTGCAGGTGGGCGCCTGCATCGTCAACCCGGAGAACAAGATCGTGGGCATCGGTTACAACGGCATGCCCAACGGCTGCGACGACGACCTGTTGCCATGGTCTCGGTCTGCTAACGACCAGCTCGACACGAAATACCCTTACGGTAGGAGCCTGATATTTGCATTGGTGCTCCATTGTTTATATTTTTCTGAACGTTCCTTACTGCTGTCGCAAGATGGCAGTAATAGAAACCCTGTCGGTTGACTAAATACAGAGGCTGAGTCACTTTAAGGATGGCCTAGTCTTGCCCTACCACCCGCTATATTTGCTCCAAATTTCCCTGAGCTGACGGGGAATCACCCACATATTTTGCCGCGCTCTGAATTTAATGAGATTCAGGAGTCGGGTTTTATCCATTGACAGGTCCCGTGTTTCTCCCCATAGGCTTTGGTGTAACAGCTTGTAAAGCTCTGTACTCATTTACATACCTCATCATGCACGGATATTTATCTTTTCAGAAATGGCACGTTACACCTTTTCAAGCTAAATAATCCGCAAACGTGACATATTTGGACATTTTCCGATGAATTGCAAATGTTAAACCCGCCGAAGTCTCGACTTGAATCCGACGATGTTTTGCACCGTTAAATGGTCAAAGATGTTTTGTGCTGAACGACTGTCCCACAGTGTGCCACGCAGAGCTGAACGCCATCATGAACAAGAACAGTGCAGATGTGAAGGGATGCACCATGTATGTGGCTCTGTTTCCGTGCAACGAGTGCGCCAAGCTGATCATTCAGGCCGGTAAGTGTTCACACAGATCCCCCTTCTAGAAAGTTTAAAAAAAAAAAATGTTTTTCCTTTTCTTTTTAGGTCTGTTATACCCTTTGTTTTATTTAACTGTCCATAGTTTAGTAAAGACAATAAAAGCAGCACTTTTTGGTGTGATTTACCTGTTAAGTAGACAAAACTTCCACTTCTTCTTCAAGTTAATACATTTTTTAAAGACTTATTTTTCTTTTTTAAAACATTTTGAATCAAATGATATTCTACCATGCTTGAGATAGTAAAAGCAGTAATTTTTTTAAATTCATATTAACATAGGGAATAAGGACATATTACAATGAATAGAAAATAACATAGAAAATAAAAATACCATTAGAGGCAACAAAGTCCTCTCCCTCAACACTTAACTGTTAAATTAGACTTGCTTGATGTTGAGAGGAACCTTTTTTTCTTTTATCGCGCATTAAGGGGTTCTTAATATCTTCTTTGATTAAATAATGCAATATCCCAACAGTTTTACAATTACTTTTTTAATACAATTCGCACCAAAACTGTTTGCTTTGAACTTTTTTTTAGCTTTTGGCCGATATCTTGTAAAGAACTGAAGCGATATTTTTTAAAACTTTCTTCCTTTTCTATACTTTTTAAACAGGGGAAGACCAAAAACACCAATTTCACTTTGACCCTCTGGCGCTTTAGATGCCAAAATGATGTAAACCTTTTTTATTTGTACACCCCTTATGGTCAGTTCAATGCACACTCTCTGGTCAAGTTTTAGGAATATACCTGGTCTATTTTCGACCAAAAGCCTTTTGTATTTTTTCAAGCGATACTCTTGCTGATAGTGTGTTCTGTAGAATAATCACATTAGATTAAAACCCTCTGTTCCTGAATTGGATGGAACGTGTGAATGAATTTATGGGAAAAAAAATAAACGGCAGCATTGGATTGATACATTATTTGTGGAAAATGAATGAGTTTGTCTTAGTTTTTTGTCATCTTCTCTCCTCTTTAGCTCTTAAGTAAAATATATTTAACCTGGACATTTGTGTAGACTCATAATTCCCTTGTTGCCTTTTCTGTCGCTTATTCCCTTTGTTAAGGACTTAAAGAAGTGGTTTATCTCTCTGACAAATACCATGATACACCCGGGATGACAGCTTCCAGAAGGCTGCTCAGCATGGCAGGAATACTTTACAGGTAAACAGCCAATGATGGGTCCCCTTCTTGATTTGACATGAGCTTTTTTTCCAATGTGTGCATTAACACATGATTATCACATGATATTTGATTTTCCCCCCCATATTTTGGCAGGGAGTTCAAGCCCAAGAGGACCGAGATTGTCATTGATTTTAATTCTATCAACCACGCTGGGATCCAGAACCCGTCGACCAAGTAAAACTGGACCTAAGAGAACGGCCGAATATGGAGGGATAATGAGTTTGAAAGGTACTGAGACGCCTGTGTTCTAGATTTGTTTTTGCCCTGTTGGTTCAAAACGAAGCTCAACTTGTTACTATGCTTTCCAAGCTGCTTTTTTGTCTTTTTTTTTTTCCTCTTAAGGAAAACCAAAGTAATTGATGTGGATACTTTTTCCTTCTGGACGGTTTAACTGTTTTTATGTGATATTTTAAAATCCTCATGTTGTGAATCTTACTGTTATGGTTGTTACCAAAGTGGAAAACTAGAAAGCATCTTTTCTGTCTTTTTTTTTTTTGTTAAAAAAGTGTCAGATCTGATCAAACTGATTATACTGTTTAAGAAAATGTTCAGCACATTCTGCCATTGTAAACTACTTACAGCTCAAATTACTTCTGCTGCTTGCTACTGGTTAAATAGTTTTTTTTGTTGATTCTTTTTTTTTTTGGTTCAGATGATGACGCATTTATAAAGTAAAAAATCGTTTACAGCAGAGTAACAGTCTTTTTTTTTCCTATCATGTATGCATGGTTAATGGATTCATTTATTTTAATTTGATAATATGGTAATTTTACTTCTCTTTGAGAGAAATAATTTTCCTGCTCTACTTTAAGACTCTGTACAAAAGACTAAATGCAAGTAAATTATCTGGTCACGCATCTCTTTAAATGCTGATGACGCAAGACAATCC